TTGTAATTAGTATTTTGGTGGTGAACATGATGTAGTCCATGCAGAAATTGAAGTACAATGATGTCCACCTGAAATTTTTACAATGTTATAAACCAATGTTACTGCAATAAACAAAAAATATATTAAAAAAAAAAAACTGAAGGTAATCTCACACCCACTAGGATAGTTATAATCAAGATGACAGATAATAACAAGTGTTGGCCGGATGTGGATAAATTGGACCCTTCATACATTGCTGGTGAAAATGTAGAATGGTGCAGCCATTTCAGAAAACAGTCTGACGGTTCCTCAAAAAGTAAACCACAGAGTAAGCACATGACCAGCAATTCCACTCCTAGACATATACCCACAAGAACTGAAAACATGTTCACACAAAACCTTGTACACAAATGTTCACAACAGCATTATTCACAATAGTCAAAAAGTGGAAATAATCCAAATGCCCATGAAGTGAGGAATGGATTAACGAAATATGGTATATCCACACAGTGGAATCTCATTCAGCCATAAAAGGGAATAAAGTACTGATACATGCTACAACATGGATGAATCTTGAAAATATCATGCTAAGTGAAAGAAACCAGTCGCAAAAGACCACATATTGTATGATTCATTTATATGAAGTAGCTAGAATAGGCAAATCTATAGAGAGAGAAAGTAGATGAGTGCTTGCCTAGAGCTGGGGGCAATGGAGGAAAATAGGGAGTGACTGCTCATGGATACAGAGTTTCTTTAGGGGGTGATAAAATTGTGGTGATGGTTGCACAACTCTGTGACTATATTAAAAAACATTTAATTGGGCACTTAAAATAGTTGAATTATGTAGTATGTGAACTATACCTCAATAAACCTATTATTTAAAAAGCCTAAAGGCATGTGCCAAAATATTATTGATGGAAAATATTTGTCATATAAAATTTGATGCAATAACAAAAATCTGTACCTAAACCCTAAATTATATTATCCTGGAAATGAGGGAGGGAAGAACAGGGCAAAAGTAAAGCTGCTCAATTCTTCATACATATAGGGAGTCATGAGACACTGAGATATTGTTTTAATTTTGATTCGAGTAAAAACTAAAATATAACCATTGATAGTATTAAAAACAAAATGTATATCCTCAAAATCACTAGAAAAAAGAAACTGGAAGGAATTACACTTAGATATTAACTGAGGTTACCTCAAAACTATGGCACTATGAGTGATTTTTATTTCCTCATTATACTTTCCACATTTTCTACAATGGGTTTGTTTTATCTTTGTGTGACTCTGATTTTTTTAAATCCAATTTTATTTTCTTATATATTCATTTATGGTTAATTTTTAAATAGGTTAATATATTCAGATAATTTAAAAATCAAAAGATACAAAAAGTATAGTGAAAAGTCTTCCTGCTACCAGTGTACCTCAGCGCCCTCAGTGTATCTCAGCCACCACCACCACAAGCATGTAGTCTACAAATACTCTCAGTTTCCTGGGTATTTTTGTGGAAATATTTTATGCATATATATTGATTCTTCTGTCTTTTTAATACAAATACAGTTTAATATATACACTGTTCTCCACTTTGATTGTTTCATTCAACAATATATCTTGGAGACTGTCCCACATCAGTACCTGCAGAGCTTCCTCTTTCTGTTTAATGGCTACATGGTAGTCCACTCTATGGATTCACCATAATTTATTTAGCCAGCCTCATACTGACATAATACTTTTATGATTGGCAAGAACAAGAAAGTAATTTTGGAGAAAAAACTAGAATGTTCTCATTCAAATTTTCCTTAAAAAAAAAAAAAGGATATTAACCATTGATTTAAACTCATAAGTTCTCTTGGACAACAACTATTAGAATATTGCTGCTTTATGTATATATAGATCTTACGACCAGATTAGAAGATATGCATCAACAATTTTATTGAAGCAATTTTATAAGTAAATACATTTACATCTCCGTTTTCATTTTTTATTCTTTTAAGTTTCTAGGTATGTGCAAAACAATCAAACCAATATTTATGTCACCACATTTTAAATCACAGTAGCATTGTGACAAATCTGCAAGTCCAAAGGACAGATGAGAATTCATCTCCTCATCATCAACCATCATCAACCACAAACATTTATTTTTTTTATACCTTGTCTTCAGGATTCTATGTTAGGCCCTACAGTTCCCTTTATATTATGCTTTTAAAATCAGCTTCAAGATAAGTTTCATCTCTCAGTCTCTCTCAGTTGAACAATGCGTTCTTCAAATATTTTCCCTTGGCTTCAACGGCACTTAACTCTCCTTGCTCTACTTCTACATCTATCTGTTAATCTCAGGCTCTTTTTCTTTAGTCTACCCTTAAATGTTCTTTTTTTTTTCCTTTTCCAAGTACCTCTCTTCTACATGCTCACTGAGCTCACTCATTCACTCACCTAGTTTGCCCATCATTTCTAGATGGTGATTTCCAAATTTATGGCCTCTTCTATCTTTGAAGTCCATAATTCTAACTGCCTAGTAGACAGCTCCTCTTGGTATCCCACTAATACTTTAAATTGAACATGTCTAAAATCAAAAAATTGTTATCTTACCACATGAACCTGCTCCTGTCTGACCACATCCGTTCATATATTAATATGACAAAAATTTGAGTCATGGTTATTATACAAGTCAGGGTGCTAAGCTTAGATCCCACCTAAAAGAATCTTACAGTCTAGAATAGCCAGCAAGACTCATATCATAGTTCATACCTCTATACCTCTAGCACATACATTTTTGTTGTAACTAGTGATGGTAGACTAACCAAGATGAGTAAAAAGTAGTAGTAGAAAATAAGAACAGAATGAATGATTGAGGTCAGAATATAAACCATCAATTATAGGCTTAATTGTATCAACTTAATTCTGTATGAAATGGGAAGCTTCAGGAAATTTTTGAGCAGGAGAGTCTCTACATTTCATTTTCAGATGATGAATCTGGCCATGATATGTAAAATGGATTTAACTGAGGAACTATGAGAGGATGGGAGATTACTATAAATCTGTGAAACAGATGATTTGAACCTGAACACACCAGGTAAGAGATTCAAACTCAAGGCTTTGATCAGCCTACAGATCATTACAGCCTTTTTCTCAGAACATACTTTCATGTTTATCAGATTTCAGTCACGCAGGATACTAACTATTCCTGAATACATGCCCCACTCTGCCTCCGCTGTTTTTCAAGGCCTAGGTCAAAAACTTTGGGGGGAAAATTTACCCATTTCCCTCAGCTAAAATTAACTGCTCCCACAGCATTTTATCTGTAACTTACTAGTGCCACTTAATCATTCCTCCCCCACCAAGTTGTAAACTCCTTCAGGTAAGGGATTATACATTATTTATTCTGGTTTTCTTCAAATTTAGCACTCTCCTGACACATACTAAGTGCCCTATATAAATGTTGAGTTGTAAGTGCATGGGTTTCTGGAGTTAAACAGGGCTGAATCCCAGCTTAGCCACTCACTCATTAGCTATATGATTATGGGCAAGTATTTAACTTTTCTTAAGTTTCATTATCTATAAAATAAAAATTCTTTCAAATTGTTGTGAAGCTTTTGGATCAATTATAAAAAGCACCTAGAAAAGTGTATGGCACATAGTGGATATTCAATAAATAATAGTTATAATTATGGCTCCAGAAATTTTTTTTAGTCTCAGATAAAACAGCAGCAGGTTTTTTGCACAGAGCATATTCATCAGAGCTTTTATTTCCTCTTTCGGTTTGTTAACTATGCTCAGCTGCAACTACTCTTGGTTGAGGGAACATTAACATATGCACTCAACAAACATTTATGAATGCCTACTACATGCTAAACGTTGGTATACAAAAAACGAGGGAGGCATGGTCTCTACCCTCAGGAAAGTATTTCAAAGTTCTATTAGTAACAGGGTCTCCTCTCCTTGTCTTTACCACCCAGGAAAGAAGGACATGGCTGAGTTTCTGGACCTTAGATGAGAAACCACATTATATAATTTCACACTTCCTATACTAATTCAAAAACACTTATTAACTACTCTATGGCAGGCATTGTGCTAGAAAATACAGAAACAAAAATGAAGATGGAACAGTTGAAAAAGGTATTTCAGAGTTCCACCTGGTACAGTATCTTCTCTTTGTTTTTACAAACAAGGAAGAAGAGTATTACTAAGTTTCTGTGCCATATATGCGTTTCTATTACACTCTATAATTTCATTCTTACCTATAGCCTTCTGTACATGAAACAGCAAAATCTGATAAAATGACCCAGTCTTTATTATTTCCTATGTTACTTTTTGGCTTGTGATCTTGTTTTATGATAACCTGAAGACTTAGCCATCCAGGTGCCAACAATTCTGGTGGAAAAAACGACATGTTGCTAGCTCATTAAACTTTTCTGGACTTTCACCAATTAATAAAGTTAGAACTATTTAGTAACTATTAACATCATTGATAGTCCTTTTTTATTTCAGAATTCTTTCAGCAGTCTAAACTACCTATTCCGCTGTCCCATTTGTTTATTGGTTATAAAGCTAAGAGTTTTAAATTGCATATATCACAGTGTGTCAAACCCTTTGGAGGTGAACTCTACTCCATCCTAGAAAATTCTGCAACTTAACTGTAATCTCATTGTAACTATATTTATAGAAACTTGTAGAATCATAGAGTTAGTATGTAGAATATTTTAATTCACAGTAAAGAGCAAGCAACCACTTCCAAAAAACACTTTTTCTCCTCATGGGTTTACTCTTCTCCTCCTTGATCTGCGGTTTATTCTTACCACACAACTAACAGATTAAGGTGCCCACACTTGGTTATAAAATATGACCCTGAGTTTTTTTTTCCATACTATCCTAATTAGTATCATTATTCTTTTGCTTCCAAAATAAAGGAGCAGAATATGGATACATGACTGCATAAATTAAAGAACTGTCTTCCACTTGTCATAGTTCTACAAATATTTCAGCCATCATCTGAAATCTAGGAAAGTAACACTATTTCTATACAGGCAGTCAAACTAAGCACTGAGATCAGAAACTAATAGTTAAGCAGTTTCACAGTCTGCTTTCAGTACCAACACACTACATCTACAGTCTACACTTACTGATTTTTGCTTTAAAAAAATCAAATTTTTGATCAAGGTCCAAAAGTTTCAGAGTAAACAAGGACAAAGATCCTAACAGAATGTTAGGGTTAAATGTATCCAGATTCAGGCCTGGTTAATCTCAGACATCTTGATACAGCATGAATAAATTTCTAGTAACCCAATAATACCTTCAGATACAGGGCTTTCTCAGCAGACCAGTGGTTGCTGGGAGAGAGGGGGCAATAGGGAAGGACTGCTTAATGGGTTACTGAGGTTCCTTTTGGAGTGATGAAAATGTCTTGGAATTAGATAATAGTGACGGTTACACAGCATTGTGAATGTACTTAATGCCACTGAATTGTACACTTTAAAATGGTTACTTTTATGTTATGTGAATTTCACCTCAATAAAAAAAGAAAAGTAAATATTTTTAAAAAGGAAAAGAAAAAGATACAGGCTTTCTGGCAGAGACGGCCATCACTTGGTGAAGGTCCCAACCGTACAACGCCGCATGCTAGGAGCGAGGTCGGATAGGGTCATTCTCACTTCACACAAAGCCGCATGGAAAGCTTATAGAATTCTCTCAGGTGGATCCTACTTTCAATAATAGCCAATTAACTGGCACTTAACACCATATTGAACTCATTTCGGTGAGAATGAGAAAACGGCAAAATATTCATCAGAATCTTCTAGAAAGCAGCGCTGCCGGTCATCTAAAATTCCCCTATGAGCAATAGAGACCACCAGGGTGGAAACGGTAGAAGCCATTTTTTTTTTTTAGTTTTTGTCTTGAGGGGGAAGCACTTGCGAGGATTCAATAAGCCTCAGACATTACATTTAAACCTAGGTGCTTAACCATGACAGGTGCACTTGTCTATGGGGCAGCGTCTCACAGACAAACGCGGAAACTCAGTCTTAAGCCACTCTCTATGGCGACGAAGCTCGAATTTAACGCTCACCGCCATACCCATCCGCGGAAAGCTCCCTCCACCAGCCGAAGAAGGCGGAGCCTCAGGGGGCACTCCCGCCACACAGCGCGAGCTGCGCCGCTGGGCTTCCTGGGAATTCTAGTTTTAGTCATCCGTCCATCTCTTTTGTTCAGGCCCGTCTGGAGTGAGCCAGGAAACTACAACTCCCAGAGTGCTCCGGAGTGGCGAGCATCCGCAGCGGTGACGACTGTGGCGGAGAAGGCCCGGAGGCCCTCTGCCTTTTGGAGTGGCGCTGTTTGGGCTGGTGGTAGATTGCTGGGTGTTGGCGCCGCGGATTAGGAGAACTACGAGTGGGTTCGGCATTTCCTATCGGGGTCCCCGCAACGATGAGCGCTGCCAGGGAGTCACATCCGCACGGGGTGAAGCGTTCGGCCTCCCCAGACGACGATGTAAATAACAATGGCGGAGTGGATGAGGGTTGAGGCCTACTAAAGGTTGCGGTAGGCCGGGAAGGGTGGATGAAAAAGGGAAAGCGACTGGGGTGGCCCGAAGGGAGAGGGCCGAGGGGGAGGATCCAGAAGAAAGGGAGTGTCTCCATTCCTTCATTAGGGTCGGAAGGTTTGAAGAGGCCCGCACGCTAAGAACCAGCGACCTCCGTAAGGGGGCTTGGGGTGGGGGGAGGGGATCGAGGAGGGAAGTCCTGAATGGTCGGGAAGTGAAAGGGCTTAGTCAAGGGATCATATTTGTCTATTTGGGTGCTGATGAAGCTTTTTTGTCGGGCCTTTCTACTCAGGATAGAGACAGCAGGATCCCTCTGTTTTAGGCTTAAATGCGCCTGTGACAATGTCAAGGTGTTCGTGCCAATTTGGACGAATTTTCCAGCCGGAATTATTTTTGCAGTGTACTGTGAAGAGTAAACAGAGAATAATATTGAACGGAAAAATTGTACCGGGGGAGTACTTTGGTACTGGCGCAGGGTGGTGAGGTCTAAGCCGTTGAGACCTAGAAGCCCATTTTGATGTCAAGTACCTCCCTTCCCTCTCCTCCCTCCAAAGTTTGTCAGTTTAAATAGCAAACCATTCATTCTTTAAAATAATCCATTAAGTATTTACTGCCATGTCAGGTGTTGGGAATTCAAAGATGAATAAGTGTGGTGCTTATCTTAGCCTTTTTGTATATTTGTCCTCGCTCCTAGCGCAATGTCATGGAGACTGCAGTAACCAGTAAATGTAAAACTAGGTCCTTCAGACAATGGATAACTGCCTGGGAACGTTGATGGGGAAATTTTGGTGAGGGGTCATGGAGAGGTCATCTTTAAGGGAGATGAAGGGACGATGTCTAGCTTTCTTTCAGTTATTGTTGAAAGCACTATCAATTTCTGAACGTGTAGAGTTCTTTATTTTCTATAGTGCAGTTCAGTACCTTTCGTAATACTTTGTTAACCGTAAAAGACTCACTGAAACGAGTGCATCAGTTGTAGCAAATGAGATGATGTTAAGACCCACCCTTTTTGGGTGAGTGGCGGGGTTAGGTCCGGAATGGTAAGGCTCTTGAAGGAAATTGATTTTAGCTTTGCAGAAAGATTAGTAATCAGTAAAGATTTGAGGATGAATGGTTATATAGTGAGATTTATTCATGCCCTCTGTTCCTCCCTACAACTGGCTTTTAGATCTTTTCATGTTAATATGGTAATCCAGTACTTGTCAGGAATTGATCTAGGCTTTTGAGTAACCTGGGTGCCATTTTAAAAGCTGTTAACGTTGTTTTCCGCCTGGTATTTAACTGTGATTTGATTGCTAGAATGTCAGGCACCTGTTTTGGTAGACGCAGAGAAATAGTCCTTTTAGCTTGGTGGAAAACTCTTGGTGATATTAGGTAATTTAACAGAAAGTTAAAGAGATTAAGTAATTCTCTAAGCTTCTGATGGAATCAGTTTAACCTAGATGAACTTGAAGACCTTTTCCAATCCTATAAGCATTCTCTTTGAAGGACAAGGTTATAGTTGCAATTCAAGATTAGGGCCTAGGACCTTCACACACTACCTAAAAATAATTATGTTGCTAATTTTATATTGTAGTACAATACAGTAACCTGTTCCTTGATAGTGCTTTTTTTGTCAGTTTCTTTCATAGGAATTTTATAAGTACTTGTTTTTAAAATATTTTGAAAATAATATAATACAAAAATTTTAAATATATTTTTCAAATATACATCCAAATTGTAGAAAGTCAACTAATTATAATATGTAGTTAATCATCAGTTTCTAATGAACATCCGTTGCATGTAAAAGGTAATTGAAGTTTTCTTTGCCCGCTGACCTCACATGTTAAATGGGGGTAACAAAACATGTTAAAAGATATTACAGAATCCAACTCTGGTAAAATGTTGACAATGTTAGAAGTAAATTCTAAGCATTACCACGGTATGTATTGAAGAGGAGGAAAATTTATTGCAGTTCTATAATAAAGGGTATTAAGGATGAAGACAACTTAAAAATGGTTTCATTGGACTGGAGAAATGAAAGCTATCTTTTAGGGAGTAGGAGGAGTGGGGAGGTTAATTTTAGTAACTGGTGGAAAACCTCTAAGAATGTATCAGTCACCCATGTACTTTTCAGAATGTAGCTCTTGAGCAAGATACTTGCTGTTGTATGCTAAGGTCTTTGAAAGGAAGACCCAGAAGGACCTCATGATTGAAAAAAATATTAGGATTCTAAATTGTAAATGAAAGGTTACTTATGTAAAGACATTGAAGACATTTGCAATTTTATAGAGAGTTTGGGAAAGTTTTGGGTTTTAGACAATTGTTTTTAATTTAATTCTATATATTTTTATAACTATAGTTCATAAACTACTTTCACACTCCGTCTCATTTGAACATGTACAGTATGATGTGGAAAAAGCAGAGGACTTAAGGGCAGAGGATCCAAGCAAGTCGCTTAGCCTCTTTGCCTCAGTGTCCTTATTTATTAAATGGACTCTTGAGAGAATCTAAGTGAAAAGTGATTTGTGAGTTGTAAAACACTATGTAATTCTTAGATGTTTTTGTTCTTAAGACAGTCTTTTAAAGAAGCATCTCTGTAGATAAGGAGTTAAAACTAAGAAGTTAAATGCTAGGTCCAGGCTCACAGAGAGCAAGTGATTTAGTGAGAATCAGAACTTAAGCTTCACCAGTACTTCAATTTTTATTTTTTTAACTATATTGAGGCAGAAATAGTTAGGAACTAACTGGTCTTTGAAAAGATATGAGCTATCAGATGGAAAGAAGTAGGAGATTTGGAACTTAGGTAGCCAAAATCAAGAAAGCATATAAGCCCCTCACCAAAAGGAATTTAGAAGCACCATAAGTGGATGTCCATTGTGGTACAAATATTTAACTCTCATATGTCCAGGAGAAATGGTTGTCATTGTTTCTTTTATATTAGTCTTTTACAGTTAATTTTCAACAGTAAGAATAAAGGGATAGTGAAAAAACAACTTTATTAGAAATTTTAATATGAATTTAACCATAGCAAACCAAATTTCTGTTTGACATTTTCCTGACATATATACCCAAAATGATTAGCATCCTCTGAATACAGCTGACTGCTCATCAGTTGTCATGTGTGAAACTGGAACATATAATTTCAGATTTCAAATCTATTTGTAATAGATTTTAGCTTTGTTATTTCTAGTTCTTGCATTTGCATCATCAAAATAAAATATTGAAGAATTTTTTGAAACCTTTGCTCATAATTTTGTGTTGAAAAAGGACGTTGTCTCTGCTCCATAATTGCAAAACATTTTCATTTTTAGATTATAAACGCTATTACAATGATCAATCCAATGAACGTTTTCATTTCTGCACTCATTGTGGTCACCTTTGTATACATACCTATCTTCAGCATTTGTCCACTTACAAACCATATCAAGTAAATTTTGGTGTGCAAATAGCATAAAAGATTAAATGAAACAGTCACATCTTTTCAGAAAAACAGGATGCTCCAGGCTCTTATTGCAAAATATTGCAAGATGAAGTCCTTCCTGTTGAATGACTCTCTAGATGAGAGAGTATCATATTTCTTTTTTGTTCTTTTTTATTTTCTTTCTCTCATTGATTCCTGGTTTGAAGAAAAGTTATCTAGTATTTCATCATCCAAAGACCCATAGTCTAAGATTTTTGCGTATACAATTAATCTTGCCATCATCATTAGTTTAGAGTACACTACCTCTTATTGTGCATTCATCTTCTTATTCGTCTTAATAATTGTGAAATGCTTTCTGTCAGTTTTCAATTTTTTACCTAGTTGCCATTACGGATAGAAATGAAAAATTCTGAATTCTCCACTGTGTCCAAAGAAAGCTAGAAGCATACAACAGAGAGGTGATGTCTTGAAAGATGATGCAATACTTTGGACACCATGATGAGAAAACTCTTCTACCATTTTTCTAGTTTCTTATTTTAGTCATTTTTAGCATAGTTGGGAATAATTGATGAATTATAATGAAAAAAGTCTTGCATTTCTTTGAGGATGTAGGGAATTATAATGAAGTAATTCTTACATTTGTTTCAAGATGTAGGGAAAAATATCACTAGAATTTAATATTCTTAGATTTATAGAAGAGTTCAATAGACCCATTTGATAATTACAAGATAGAATGAGTTTTATTCTATTCTTTTTTTAAAAATTAAGTAAATTTTGTCTTTCTTTGGAAGACCTCTAAGAAAGAATAAAAGTTATGACACTGATCCTTACAAACAACTAGAACAGCTCAAAAAAGAAAGCGAAAAACTAAAATTGGGTCCAGTAGACTGATGTTATACTGTCCTTTTGAATATCTTTAAAGCCAGAGTTTCTAACAGCTAACAACTGGCAGCCTTTTGGGTTCAAAGTACTAGATGCGCTAGGGCCCTGCAAGGCTCCAGGGCAATAGGTCTCAACGTGTGGTCCCCCACATCAACAGCATCAGCATCGCTTAGGAATTTGTTAGAAATGAAATCCTTGAGAGCCACCCCAAACATATTGAACCTGAAACTCTTGGGGTGGAGCCCAGCGCAGCGGTCGGTGTTTTAACAAGCCCTCCATGTGATTCTGATAGATGGAAACTTGAGAACCAGAGCTCTGGCTGCAAAAGAATCAAAGGATTCTGCCTTGAGGTAACAGAAAAAGTGTTTTAATTCAAATAGGATGCATATACTTAACTTCCTAAGTAAGGATGAGCCCTGTTTATTGTTAAACTGACAGGAAAAAAAACTTGGGATTTACTGGTAG